AATTTCACATCCTAACATCAATTTCAACACTATAACACACATTAATCTCATAGTTTTCCATAATTTCTGAATAGGTCCCTCAACTTTCACAAAATTATAAGAGGATCCCTATAACTTTCTAAGGCTTATAAAATTCTTCCTACATTGTTTCCAGCCCTTACATAATTTTTCCATAATTTTTCTCATCCTTAAACACCATGGTCGAATTATTCAAGGTTAGGGTTCCATGATTTTCACTTGATTTCAATTGATTTAGGCATGATATTAACCTCAAATAAACATTTCCAAGCTTCTACAATTAAACCCCTAACCTAATTTCATCAAAGCACACACTTCCCCAAATTAGGGTTTAGGTTAAGAATCATTAATAACATTTCTAGGAGATTTCGGTCATCATACAAGCTTGAAAATGATTCTACAACCTCAATAACCTCAAAACCCATCATTAATTCATAAAACCCTAACATGAAAACAAACCCTAAAATTTGAGAATTTAACACCCAAACATGATTAACCTTCAATAATGGTACCAAATGATAGAGCACTTCGAATAGAACAATTTTCTATTTTACGGTTTAACCCAAAAACCAAAGGAAATTGCTCAAAAATAAAAATAAAATTTCTCTTACCTAGGGCTATGAGGAGCACGAAATGGGGGTTGAAGAATGCATTATTTTCATGAAATTTCTAGTTAATTTCATGTGCATTTGTCATTTAATAAGCTTAAATGAATTTAAAATTCATTTAATTGGGAAATGACAATTTTACCATTAATGAAACTTGATAATTACATCCATACCAAGCCACATGTTACTTATCATCTTTCCAAATTCAAATATGAATAATTATTATTCCCTTTACAATTTTCCCATGCATTTTTCCAAAATTTTCAATCTTTCCATTTTCATCCAACAGTCCAAATTGAACATGAAAATAAATTCTCAAATCCAATGATCCATATTATATTCCATCATTTTATAATATGGAAATAATATTTCTAAGCTTAATTTAATATCATTCAAATTTTCTCAAAATCCTTATTCGATCTGATTTACTGATTTTTTACCGAACTTTAACACTTTCTTGCTTTTAACACAAATTTCGGATCAAAAATTTGATTACAACCAAAACATCATTCACTGGGGTGAAATATTCATTTATGGGATCAAAAACCTGAAAATTAAACTTTTGGTCCTTGAACTTTTGAAAATTACCTTTTTTGGTCTATAAACTTTCTAAACTTTATACTTTGGCCACTAATTTTTCAAATTTTACATTTTGGTCACTAACCAAAATTTTGGGGTGTTACAGTATTGATATTGTAGGGTTGATATCGATACTAAATAGCTTAGTATCGATACCATCGTATAGAATTGGGCAAGAAACCCAACTTTAACGTATGGGCTCGAGCAGGGGGTCTAGGATCACTGAAACTCCTCTAATGAACTTATAAGTAAGAAAAACTAATGAATACAATAAAAGCTTAAGAATCTTATTTATAAGATGCCATACGACTTACTCTTACATAACGTTCTAGGAAAAAAAAAGACCAAGATAGTAGCAAGTGAAGGGATAACCTCACCCAATTGTGTTTAGCTATGATAGTGAGTAGTTGAGCCACCTTGTTTGTCATTGCATGGCATTGATTGATGTGTGTTGCCTATGGGAACCCTATCATGTTTGTGTGTACGATCGTCTTGTTTGTTTGAATATCTGGATATGTCTTAGTCAGTACTAAGGCACTTTAGTTGCGGGCGTGAGGCTCGAACACTCATGAGGAGTGAGTTAGCCGGGTGTTGTTTTCCGATGTATAAATTTTAGAATCTCACCCTAGGTAGGCTAGAGGGGGTGTCCTGAGATGCAACGAAACCCTCCGACCACACCATGATGCCTACCTTAGTATATGTGTTTGATGATTGTGTGTTGCATGTGATGATATATAATAGCATGATACTATGGTTAAACACAAGATTATGTATACTTATTGCGAGGCCCTTAGTAGTAGACTAAGGGAAGCATGATACTCAAATAATTATGATAGTAGATGTACCTTGAATAGATGCCTTAGTAGAATTGATGACATAGTGGTATTACTTCTATGACTATACTTGTTAGCATGCTTATTTTATGAATGCATGTAGTATAGTAGAGGTATTGCGTGGTACGAGGCTTGCGAGCTCAGCGTTCAAAATGTGTTTTCGTTCGCAAGTTTTAGGTTTCATGAAGTGCAAGTGGACAACTATATAATCGGATGAGACTCCGCGAAGTACCAGAGTACAGTGATGAGGACTTAGTGGGCATGTGGAGGCCATGATTTAAAATGAGTCAACTTGTAATATTTTAATTATTATTTTATTTATGTTATGGTTAAAATATAGATTTGGTCACTTTTGTTTCAATTTTATAAATGTATGATCACTCAATGTAAAAAATTTAATATGTCGTCACTGTTGTTTCATTTTAATTAAGATGTGGTCACTGGGATGTTAACCTCTGTTAGTTTGATGATGTAACACGTTAGTAAAAGGGTTTATTTTTACTTGAACCCCTAAACTTTAGATAAAATATTAATTATGGACCATTTTATAAATTTAAAGTAATTTAGGGACAAAGTTCTAATTTACCCTTTTTATATGTTTTCTTCTACAAACCCCATCTTCTTCCCTCTTCTCTACAACAGTGACCCTCGCAGACCTAAACCCACACCGTTCAGAGTATTTACCACTGATGAACGGTAGTTGGCGGCGTGGATTTAAACCTGCAAGGGTCACGACTGGAGAGAAGAGGGAAGAAGATGGGGTTGGGAGAAGAAAACATATAAAAAGGGTAAATTAGAGCTTTGTCCCTAAATTACTTTGAATTTATAAAATAGTTCATAATTAGTATTTTATCTAAAGTTCAAGGGTTAAAGTAAAAATTAAACCCTGTTACTCACGTTCCACGTCGTCAAACTAGCGGAGGTTAATGTCCCAGTGACCATGTCTTAATTAAAAGGAAAAAAAAGTGACCACATATTAACATTTTTTGATCGAGTGATCGTACATTTATAAAATTGAAACAAAAGTGACCAACTCTATAGTTTACCCTTATTTTATCTACCGGGTTTTTAAATTGGAGCTTTGCTTTTGTAAATGGTTATGGTTTCATACATTGTGTAAATATCTTTAAAGTGAGTGTGATTTAAAAAAAAATGGTTAGTCATCTCAATGATTTTGTATTACACTCGAATCCATGGAATTTGAGTGTTACAATAACAGTTGGAGAGGCCATGCCTCACCAACTGAGTTCGCATCTGTCTCAACATGGATGAAAGGAGGTGAACTATGACTCATTCGATGATCTAAAATAAACGCAACATATTCTTTATAATCCGCAGAAACTTTTACTGTATATAGAAAATACTAAACATATTAACAGGCAATGCCTTCTGCCACAAAATTACTTGCAGTAGTCCAACTCACCTAACCACATTAAATATAAGTTAAGATGCATGGAGATTTATATTTATTTCCCGTATTATCGATAAAGCAAGAAAATTACAAGTTTAAATTCCGATTATCAGGAAATTTCAATGCTAATAATGAGTCATCAAGGGCCAAAAAGGAATAGCTCATACACCTGCACAAATGCCGCACCAGCTAAAGCTAATATTCATAGCCTGTTATAAGAGGTGATAACAAGGACATGTGTAAACTGTTTAACCTGGTTGTAAATTACTAGAAAAACATAATCAAGCAGAAGTTAATGCACCTTTAACATAAGTATAAAAAGAGATGGAGCAAAGAGGAAGACATTCATCTTTATTGAAACTGCAACACTACACATAAAAAAGAGAAAAAGTAGGATCAACTTCTTTTCTATTCCTTCTTAAAAGGGAATAATTAAAATTGCTTTGATAAAGTAAGCATACTACCTAAAAATAATCAACCTGAATTGCCACCACCCAAAAAGAATGGATGCCATTGCAAAACAGTCATTGAACAAACGAAGCACAAATATTGAGTGAACTCTCTCTAAAAGAAAAAGCAAGCTAAGAGTCCACTAAGAAAGCTGCAAGATATTTTAAGAACAGTGAATTGTTAATAAAAAAGAAAGCACTGATACACGCTCTTATAAAGAATATGTTGCTTTTATTCTAAATCGTCGAATGGGTCATAGTTCACCTCCTTTTATCGATGTTTAGAAAGATGAGAGCTCAGCTGTTGTGGCCTGGCCTCTGTAACTGTTATGAAAGAAACTATGGACATAGTTCAAGTAAAGCTGAAGGATGACAAAGAAGTACCAGAGAGGAAGAGAGAGAACCAGTGATACAAAAGATGATAGAGTGCAACAAATGTATAAAATTGAAAAAGCATACCTGTTCAACCCACCATCCCTACCTCGATAAAAATAATCAAGGATGAAAAGATGAAGGATTATATTCGCATTATGACCAGCTCAGTTAAAGATGGACTTGCAATGCAACTACAAAGAGTCACTAATCGTCGGGTGTTGCACCTATGAGTTTTGTAATGCTTCTCTTCATGGTGAGTGAAGAAGAAGCGGAGATAAAAAAACGTCGATCAAACATTTTGATCAGTCAAATGTGTGATAAAACGTTCCAGGTCACATGTTTAATGAGTCATGTCAACATTTTTAATAGTTCAAAGTTTTCTTGTCGAACGTTGTCTTTCAATTTCTTAAAAAAATATTCTTAATCTTATGTAATCTTATCGAACTAAATTCTAATCATGTTGTATTATTCGTTATCATTTTAATAGTTCAAATTTTCTTTGTTGACTTTATATCGTAATGTTAAATGTTTGTTCTTATAATTTATTTGTCTTAAAATTTTGATATATTCAGTAATTTTATACTTTTGTGTTTATTTGTGAATCAAAATGATCTATTTGATTCAAATTGAATATAATTTAAATAGTTTATATATGTGTGTATATATATATATATTATTTTAATAATATAAATATTATTTCATAAATAGAAAATAGGTAATTTGCATAGATTAAACACGGACGTGAAATTTATTTTTAAAATCAAACCTCCGTCTGGTCCAACTTAGCCCATGAGCAGATGAGCTAATAATGGGCCAAAAGAAAGCTTGTTTTTTTACAATCATTTAATCATCTAAAGCTAAAACATCTCAATTATATATTCAGGAACCCTAAACAAATTCTATCGAACCCAAACAGTTGGGGAAATTTTGAATCACATCTTGCAATATGATCAGTTCTTGAATAGTTTCTCCCTTCAATGGCTTTGCAATATACAGGGTCAGAGACCAACTGTAGTTAACACAATGAGGTTACATTGCCGAGTGATGTCGCGTGTAAGGTCCCTTCAATCTGCTCAAATGCCCCCCGTTTGATTGTGTCCTGCCAATGGCCGTCGCTCCTTCGTCGAATGGTTCAAGAAATTGCTCTAGCGTAGTGCTATGCCTGTCGAGCCAAGCTCTGATATCCGCAAAGACGATCTCGACGTTTTCATCGGACTCTCCCGCCGTCAGCCCGTGCCACATCCCTGGATACAATCTTATGGTCTTGTCCTCGCTTCTTGCTTTCGCGTACAACGCCTTGCTTACTTCTGGGTCTGTCACCGTATCGGCGTCGCCGTGCAGAACAAAGAAGGGGAGCGTCACCTGCCAAAAAACCCAACCCCAAGAATCATATAAGACCGATGATACAACATGTTGAGGCACATATAGGGGAAAGATTTTGAAACCTCATTTAAGCTAGCTTCAATGCTCATGCTGGCTCTAAGCATTTCCAGCGCTGTTTTTAGTCTGGGTTTACCTTGGTATATCAGCTTATTGTTCCTTATCTGCACCAATCATTAAAAATGGATGAATCCAATACGACCAGTCCAAGATTTAAACAAAGAACAATATATACTCACCTCTTCTCGTTTAACAGGGTCTTTGAATGCTGAGTCGATTACATCTCTTGTGGGTACAATCTTCCATTTAGGTATAAACAGTTCCATTTTAGTCAATATATTTACGACCACTGGATGTGGCTTCACATTCTCTGATATCTTACACATAGGTGCAACAAGAACAGCACCATTCCAAAAGGAAGAGTCTTTTTTATGGAGCAGTAGGGCCACTGCACCTCCCATTGACTCTCCGTATAAAAATCTGCTCTTTTCCCTGTATCTTTCCTCAGCTGAAGAATAAACCATAGCGACAGATTAAGGATTTGGGTCATGGATAAGTGATTCGTAGTGTTTAAGAAACATACCGCAGACAGATTTGAAGTATTCATCGCAGTCTTTAACGATGTTTTCAAAATTCTTAATGTAACACCGAGCACCCTGGGATTTTCCATGTCCTTCATAATCAATCCCAAACACGGCATATCCTGCTTTGGCTAGCCTGGTTCCACATTCTGTTAAAATGCCAGAATTGAAAATGTTGGCTTTATTAGGCTTTGCGTATAATTGAAAGAAGTCATGCCAATGTTGATAAGATAAACTTATTTTTGTCTTGTTATATACATTATCTTTGAGGTTACACTTGCACCTATGCATTAGAATGGCGACAAAATTGTAAAAAGGAAGATAATGGCAGACAATATGTAATGGGAAGCTTATACTTTTTTTTTAATTAATATCGGATTACCTTTCATGAATCCACTGCATTCCATGCCATAACCTGCAACCACAATATTGATGTTAATAAAGAATTTAAATTACGACGACGGTCATATTTATCGTGATTATAAACATGATGAGTGTTATTGCAGTAACTGTATCGGACGGTAATAAAATCGCTGTATAGCGGTGGTTATTTCAATTTAGAATTGTTATTTAAATCCCCATTGCTATTAGCGAGTGGTTGTTGAAAGAGAGGGGGCGTACCGTGGCAAAGGAAAACAAGAGCCGTAGGAGAAGAGAAAGGCAACCATCTGCAAGTAAATAACAAAACTCCTCTTGAGTTCTTTATATGCTCCTACAACCCCCACGCAATTATGAAGAGTTAAAAAAGAAAACAAATGAACATCAACAGGCAAGGAGATGGGAATAAATACAGACGAAGAAGAAGCCATTTACCTCTTGGTATTCGATTCTCATACTCATTTCTCCTTGTTTGTTGTTTTCCACACAAGAAAAAAAACTCAGAAAAAGAGGACACGGTCAACGGAAGCAGATAAGGATGATGAGAATGAAGAAAGAAACAAATGAGTTTGGAGAAATCAAAAGATTATAAAGGAAGGAGAGGAGAGGAAGCAAAGGGAAAGAACTATGAGCGAGACAGCGTTACTGGATTGGAGGGAGAGGTTGTTTTGTCGCGTTTCGTCTGGTTTATACAGCTTCCGCTCACCACACAATCTCTAACGCCTGCTCTTCTCTCACCTTTTTTACGTTCATGGTTTTTTACGTTACTATACCGAATGACAGTATTTCCGTTTCATGTTCCCAAATTCCAAGAGATAAAGTAAAATGAAATGATGTCATAGAAATTAATATATATTTATTTGACCTTCATCCACACCGCTCGCTTGATTTTATGGATCTTATTCAGTTTAGGAAGAAATGGTCATCCAACTCAGTTGGTAGAGCAGAAAGTTCTTAACCTTGAGGTTATGGGATCGAGTCTTACGGAGACCATTTCATAATTCGGAGGTCTCTTACGGAAGCTGCTCTCAACCTGGTATTAGGACATTCTACTATCTTACCTCTCCCTTACCCCATACATAGGGAAAAAAGGACAGTCATTTATTCAGTTTAGGAAGATTTTTCAATAACATTCTTAATTGGATTATTTAATTAACATTTTCTTTATTTTATTTATAAAATATATTTAAAATTAATAGATTCCTTAAGTTTAGTGACGGACGAGGTCCAAGGTCTCAATACTTTCTTCGCTGCAAGTAGCACATTATTTTCAGTTATATTTGATTAATAAAATAATGTTACATATCATCATTTTATTAATCAAATATTAATAAAAAAAATATTCAAAAATGATATATTAATTATTTAAAAAAAGAAAAATAAAAAAGAGGGAATATTCGAATATCTCCCGAAATCTATCAAATTTATTAATGTAATACATAGACTTTCAAAACATTCAATATATATATTCTATAGTTTACTTTCATGTTTACTTTGGCCCTTAAGATTAACATCAATAAATAATATCATCAAAGACCAACAACCAATTGGTCTAGTGGGATGAGGTAGTAGGTCCCTTAAGCAAGGTTAGGGGTTCGAATCCTGGTGTTTGTGAATGGAGCAAACTGGGTTGGGAGGGTCGCCCTCGCCTCTGCAGTACCCGATTTAGATTAATCAGTTAATAGATCAGATACCAATAATTAATTTTAAAAAATATCATCAAAGGAAACGTAAATATTATCTTTAGTGGTCTTAAAAATTAAGGTTTGGATATTTTCCTCAATATAAATAAGAGAAAATAACCTCAGTGACCAAAAATGCCTTATAATATACGATTTTAACCAACTTTTTTTGGATTTGCCAAAATGACCAACTAAATCGCAATGCGATTGATAATTCGCAACGCGATCTCCGGTATCGTAAATCAGTTTCCAGATTCGCAATGCGATTCTGACTATCGCATTGCGATTTTCCAAATTCGCGTTGCGATTTTTTGACTATCGCAATGCGAATATGTAAATCGCAATGCGATTATGACTATCGCAACGCGATTCTGACTATCGCAACGAGATTCTGACTATCGCAATGCGATTCTGACTATCGCAACGCGATGCTGACTATCGCAATGCGATTTTCAAAGCGCCATTATTATCGCAACGCGTATTTTTTTTCAAATTCCAAACACGAATATTAATATATCGGAACACTGAACCATCCACAATATATCACGTAATCGCAACTCATAACCTAAAACCCTAAATCACAACTCAGTCTCATCTCCATATCTCACTCTCTAAGACGACATCCGTCCCCATCTCCGACGAAATCAGTCCCCATCTCCGGCGAAATCCGTCTATCTCCATCTCTCAGAGCCACCCTCACAATCATTCACGGTCAGAAATGGAAAATCAACCAAATCAACCACCGATGGTTAGTTTTTTTAATTATTTTTATTTTGAAATTTTTTGCATTATTATTAGGTTTTTCATATTGAAATTGATGATAAGTTTACTGGTAATTTCAATAATAGATTAACCATTTCATTTAGATTGCTTATTAAATCCATTCGATTGCTGCCAATACTGCTAAACTGTTTAGTCTTTAAACCCTGTGAATTTAGTATTTGTCTTTGTTTTGTCTTTTGGTTGAAGTAATACAATCCATTCAAGTTTCAATTTTAGTATTTGAAACCGAGAATCGCAACGCGAAATGAAAATCGCAACGACAGAATCGCAATGCGATTTTAGTTTCGCGTTGCGATAGTCATTTTCGTGTTGCGATTTTCATTTTCATGTTGCGATTTTAAGTTTCAGAAACTTTTCTTCTTCTGCAAATTGAAACTTGAATGAATTTCATTACTTCAACAAAAAAACAAAGACAAATACTAAATTCACAGTGTTACAAATTTAAGTTTGAAGAATAAACTACTACTCTTTATGTTTATTGTTCTTGGTATATCTTCACAGTGTAGTTTTTGGTATATCTAACTTGGTATGTTTATAGTTTTTGTAGAACTTTTATTCGGCTCAATTGACCTTAAGAAATAAATTAAGCCTGGCCAAAACAATTGCGTCGAAGCTTTCACCTGTACAAAGAAAAATATTTGAGGATACTTGCTTCGGGCCATGGCTGAAAGTACAACATCCGGGTGGAGATGCTATGTTAACCAATCTGTTTCTTCAAACCATGACTAGCGATCTACCAGAGACTATACAACGTCGTGATGAAGAGATATGGTTTGATTTTCCACCGGCGTATACGTGTTTTGGGCGAGAGGAGTTTTGCTTAATCACTGGTCTACGCTTCGGACACGATGATGTAGGTCGGTACACTAGACATATTACCCGCCTATCATGGTTATCCCGGGTTTTTCCTGAGCTGTCAATGGAGAAGCTGAATTTAAACGTGGAAGACTTGACGAGATTATTGAATAAGAAAGATGGTTTTACTCGGATAGATGACGTCGATGTTGTCCGAGTATGCCTTCTAATACTTTTGCATGTCGGCTTTTTAGGCAGAGAGGTCAGACAACCTATTCCTAATAATCTAATTAAATTGGTAGATGACCTAAATGCATGGAACCTGTTTCCATGGGGTTCGTATCTATGGAAAGCTACATGGAATAAGTTGTCGTCTGCCTTTGATGATCGAAAAAGTTTGCGTGGCGATGGTTCCAAATACACTTTGTCAGGCTTTATTTGAGCCTTTAAGGTAAGAATTTTTATATAATGTTTCCAAAATTATAATTAATTATTTAACAATTACTAATGTTTGTTATTATATTGTTTGTAGATTTGGATATTTGAGACCTTTCCCGCCATGCAGACATATGCATTAAAAACTTCTAATGATATTCCTAGGGCTATTTCCTGGAAGAGGAAACGGACCTTGCAGCAATGGGAAGATTTACTATCGTATACGACAATAAATAATGTAAGTTAACACAAATACTACCATATGTTTATAAACAAGTTATTACTAGTACAAGTTTAACTTTGTTTGAGCTTTTATATTGTTAGGAGGCCAACACTCCATTACATAGGCTGACACCCACGGAAGCTGAGCTTGCCACTGATTGGTGGCAAGCTAGTAAGCATTTTTTTGAACGCACGGATGATGAACAGCCTCCACTTCGAGAGCCATCACCTGATCGACTTGACTATACACCTCCACAACGAGAGCCATCACCTATTCTGTCACATCATCGAGCCTCTTCTCCACCATCACCTTATGATAGGCGACCGACAAAGATGCCACGACGTTTATATCCTTGTTCTCCACCTCCACCTCTACGAGATGAGTTAGGGGAGTTACGTGATGAGGTCAATGCCTTGCGTGAGGAGGTTGGTACTTTACGCGATGACAATGGTGCATGGTGTGTTGAGGTGTCTACTTTACGTGGTGAGGTAGCCGCTCTACGTGAGATGGTAGTATCGTTGTAGAATGAGGTTCATACTCTATGCAACGAGGTAAGTTTAATATTTTTCATATTTAACTTGATGATAAATTTACTCGTAATTTCACTTAGATTAACCATTTCACTTAGATTAATCATTTCACTTAGATTGGTTAGTAAATTTATTCGGTTACTGCAAATACTCCTAAACTGTTTATTCTTTAACCCTGTGAAGTTAGTATTTGTTTTTGGTTATCTTTTGGTTGAAGTAATTCAATCCATTCAAGTTTTAATTTGCAGAAGAAGAATAGTTTACTTTCGCAACGCGAATTTAACTATCGCAACGAAAGAATTGCAATGCGAAATGAAAATCGCATTGTGATTCTCTCGTTGCGATAGTCAAATTCGCGTTGCGATAGTCATTTTCGCGTTGCGATAGTCATTCGTGTTGCGATTTTAAGTTTCAGATTCTATTCTTCTTCTGCAAATTGAAACTTGAATGAATTGCATTACTTCAACCAAAAGACAAAGACAAATACTAACTTCACAGTGTTGAAAATTTAAGTTTCAAGAATAAACTACTACTCTTTATGTTGTCATTTAACTTGTACTAAACCTATATGTTGTCCTTTTAAATGTTTATATAAGTGATTACTTCTGGAATTATCTGATGCATTTTGTGAACAATGATAGAATAATGACTTGGGTGATTACCGTGCAAGTTTGAAATATATTTGTTTTTGTTTTCACTGTTTAATATCAAGTCTGTTTATTTAATGATTTATGTATTAATTTATTTTTAGCGGCCCGCTAAGGTGGATGCTCTACGTTGGGTTTTTCTTGCAAGACGGAGTTCACGTATCAGACGGCGTGCACGTGTCATTACGTCTCCGTTCACCCCAATAGTGCAAATAATCCATAAGAAAAAGCCCGACTCACCTGTCATCGTTCAAGAGGCCTCCCCTATCGTTCAAGAGGCCCCTATCATCCCTCAAGAGTCCCCTCCCACCGTTCAAGAGGCCACTATCATCGTTGAAGAGGTCACTCCCAATATTCTAGAGCCCGATTCACACGGCGTAATATATCGAATTATTGAGAAACCCCCTCACGTGCCGGACATGATGGATGACTGTTGGCTTTCGTATAAGTTACCGGCCAGTACTATTCCGGCAGATGAAGTGGAGAGGAAACAACTACCGGAAACAACTACCGGAAACAATTCTGGATAATACCCTTTGGGCTAAGACCGCAGTTGATTTTTATCTACATGAGCGGAGCCAAGGGTTTTACGCTGACATATACAAACTCAA